GTGTTAAAAGTTTATTTGATTGGTTGGCTGAGGTATTTATCAAAAGATGGCCTACTGACAGAGAGCTGGAAATACCTGATATCCCTTGGCTTAGTGTTGATGAGGGATTGTAAGGCTCCGGCAAATCGGTATGCTCAAGTGGATTCGCAGTGCAACACCAAATCCTCCACAATGGGAGGGCCCAGAGGACATGCCTTTTACTGATTTTATAAGATGGAAAGTATTGAGAGAGACACCAGAACATTTGAAGAGCTTTGTTTTTGCTCTTTTCCTTATGCCGAATCTTACAGTTGGAGATGCTGCTGCTCAATTACATAAATTAAATGTAAATATAATAGGTGTAACAGGACCTTGGAGTAGGGGTCAGGTGGCAGTATTGAATTACCCAAGACAAGGTGAGCATACTTATTGTAATGGGCAGCAAAGACAAAACAATACCTACAATGGCATGACTCAAATGGACCTGTGGTACTGGCTAATCAATCATGGTGTTTCCAGGGACCACATACATAAGTAGCCTACTAAGTTTTATTTGATCTGTATAAGCAGAAAAGCTCTAGGATGAATGACAGGAAGTCAGTATTGGATCGTAGCAATAGAGAATCTCACTCAGTCAACCAATTTCCAGATTTGAGAGAGTTTACAGACCCAGGACCCCTTGAATGAAGGGAAGGCTGGGTGCCCTTCAGAAGGACTTTGTCACAGTACCAAAGAGTTATGCTGTTTGCCTCTCACCCATCCTTCCCCAGAGGGACCTGCGGCCTTTTACTAGAGTAGCTGTACACTGGGGGAAAGGAAATAATCAGACATTCCATGGTCTATGGATACTGGTTCAGAGCTGACATTGATTCCAAGAGATCCTAAAAAGCATTGTGGACCTCCAGTTAAAGGAGGGGCTTATGGAGGTCAGGTGAAAAATGGAGTTTTGGCTGAAGTCCGACTGACAGTGGGTCCAGTGGGTCCCTGAACTCATCCTGTGGTTATTTCCTCAGTACCAGAATGTATAATTGGGATAGATATACTTAGGAATTGGCAGAATCCCCACATTGGTTCCCTGACCTGTGGAGTGAGGGCTATTATGGTTGGAAAGGCCAAATGGAAACCACTGGAATTGCCTCTGCCAGGGAAAATAGTGAACCAAAAAAATATCGCATCCCTGGAGGGATTGCAGAAATTAGTGCTCCCATCAAGGATT